ATACGCTCCTCTACCACTCCCTCTGTTGTTTCGGGATAATCGTTAAAAACAAATGTTTTAGCATTTGTTTCATCTTGAAAAATATCGGCTTCTATTCTAACTTAGATTTTTTTTGACTAAGCATCGTTCCAGTTGGAGGGAGCGGATTCAAACAAAAATGGTTTTGGATGTAAAACTGTTGTTCAGCACATAGCCACACATCGTGGGGGGTGGGGGTGGGGGGTGAGGTAGCATTGTGGTTAAAGCGTTCGCTCGGCACACCGAAGGCCCAGGTTCGATTCACCACATGGGAACAGCGTGTGAAGCCCGTTTCTGATGTCCCCCGCCGTGATATCGTGATATTGCTGGAATATAGCTAAAACGGTGTAAAACCAGACTCCTCACGTCATCGGGTATCATCTGGGGATATTGAGTCAACGAAAGTGAGCCTGGTCGTCAGCGGTAGCCTAGCTGTGGATGCTGGTAGTTATATTTAGTAGTAGTGTTTGAAGAAGATGAATAATATTATTGCGCTAAAATATGTTTCAAAACTGCTTTTAAATATATTTTTGATGAATTTACATTCTCGATGATGGATGGCTGTAACTCACTTTAAGGACATGTTTCATCGCCCCGACTGTCAGATTCTCACCCAACAGCAGGAACCACGCCCATCTCCATCATGTAACATCACACCACACCACACCACACCACACCATAGCGAACCACACACCCCACCAGTCCACATAACACTGCACAGCACCACTCGACATCACTCCGCACCGCACCGCACCGCACCGCACCGCACCGCACCGCACCGCACCGCACCGCACCGCACCGCACCGCAGGGCACAACTCCACTCCGCACCACAGCACCATACCGAACCACACCCCCTACCAGGCCACATCACTCCGCACCGCAGTGCCTAACTCCACTCCGCACCACAGCACCATACCGAACCACACCCCCTACCAGGCCACATCACTCCGCACCGCAGTGCCTAACTCCGCTCCGCACCACAGCACCATACCGAACCACACCCCCTACCAGGCCACATCACTCCGCACCGCACCGCAGGGCACAACTCCACTCCGCACCACAGCACCATACCGAACCACACCCCCTACCAGGCCACATCACTCCGCACCGCACCGCAGTGCACAACTCCACTCCGCACCACAACACCATACCGAACCACACCCCTACCAACCAGTCCACATCACTCCGCACCGCACCGCACCGCATCGCACTACATTATCAACTGCTTTCGAATGTGACTGTGCTTGAGGGGATAGAGTATGCGTATGAACGCTAAGACAAAGCTTATGCGACGTTAACCACATCACATCCACCACACGCCCAACAAGACTCAACATTTCACAACAATACATTTCTTCAAGCAAGATCTCACAACACTCACCACCACCCATCCCCCTGCCCATGACACAACCCCCCCTTCACCCACCCCATCCCTTCCCCATCCTTTCAATCCGGACTCCTCCAGCACCGCCCTCCACACCAACAATCGAACGTGAAGCAGGACATATATTGATAAAACAGTATGCAGCTATTTCGGGGCCCCGAGAACGCGAGCGTCATATTTGGAAAGCTGTAAAGAGAGGTACTGGAGACAGGGACAAATACACGTCGTTTATCATAGGCTCTTGGGTTTCCCACAATCCCCACACGTCTGAGTGGCGGTGGAAAGCCAACTCGGGTAATACCGGCTTGTCGCTCTCTTCTGTATCCATTCGACACATATAATCCCTCTCGGGAAAAACACTAAAAGAGTGTGCTATTATTTTTCCGACGACACGGAAGCCCTTTGGCTATTCCCAACCTACATGGTGTGAACGTTCTCTCGACAACATCAAAATGTAGGAATCGAATTCAAATCGGCTGTAAATCCGTACTGGCTTATTCCTAACGTTTTTCTGACATGATTTGTGCAGTACAGATCAATCAGTGAGCATGGCATCTTTTAAAAATTATTCAACAAAAAAACCTAACTTTTTTGTGTTGTAATGTCGTTTTATATGTTTTTTAAATAACAACTCATAATGTATTAGATTATCCCATGACTCTAGGCTACGAATTCGTGAAATTTGACCGGTCCCGATGGAATAATTTTCTTCCCTGGAAATAAAATTGTTCTGTAATTAGGTGAATGAGTCTTGTTTTCCGGCGCGTTTAGCAATAGTCCTGCACTATCACGGCGGGTGTCGCCAGGCATTTACACGCCTATCTGTCACACAGACCGGGAAACAAATCTACTCAATGCAGCTCAAGCAAGTCTAAAGTTTGGGGCACGTCTAGATTACCACAGTTTCAGGTTGAAAATGAAGAAAATCTCTGGGCTCCTTTTTAACGTATTTTATCAACATGATTTATAAACCGTTTTTCCTGCCAAATGTATTAATTTCAGAGACTAGCTGTTAGTTTAATTGCGCGCATGTGGGAATAAAACCCGGGTCTTCGGTGTGAACAACTTCGCATTAACCATTAGGCTACCCCACTGATTATAATCTATAGGAATATAGCATGAGGGCACTGGGGGTTCCTGGAAGGAAATTTGACGCAATACACTATACGTTTTCATCAAAGGGAGACAACCGAATGAAAAATGAATAATTCAATTTGGGCAAGTGAAATTGTCGGAGTGAGAAAAATGGAAGGACGCGGTCTTTCAGCAAAGTCTTGAACTGGTGATTTATGTGACCGTTTGTCCTACGGTGTCTACTTCGTGTCAGACTAGGTGCAGCCGTGGTCCCCCTTCACACTCTAGCCATCTCGCCGAGTGAAATCTTGTCAATATTTTCCCAATAGACATCACCGAGGGTGACGCATGGGTTAGACATTCCCTATACAGGAAATGAATCTCAATTCGTTTTAGCCATTCGCATGGCACTTCCGGTGGGTAACTCTGATGGACATCCTTATTTAAAACGAAATTGGAGAACGAACTATTTTGTTTTTACGTTCAACCATTAAGTCTGATATGGATGTGTTTTGTTTTGTTTCCTTTTTGTGTAGCGCCAATATTCCAGCTGTATGACGGTTCCGATACAAGTGTATGAGTTCATCTTTACAATGTAAACAAAGACAATGGATATTCATATTGCACTACCATACACATTGTGTTGTTTACTAATCGTTAAGAGAATGTTATTTGTCATGATGATATTAATGAATGAGTGAGTGAGTGTTTTAGTGAGTGAGTGAGTATGTTTATGTTCCAGCAACACGTTGGGGGGACACCAGAAATTGTACCAATGTGGGGAATCAAACCCGGATCTTCGGGGTGAGGAGCGAGCGCGTTAACCACTGGGCTACCCCACCGCCCCTGGTGATGATAGTGAGTGTATTCTGGCGATGGAACTGAGAGCATGCAAAATGTAGTGACATTCACAATAAATAGGTTTTATATTTTTCTGACTGACGATTCTGCTGAAAGGCGAACCAGTGTGTAACTAATCTCTCGATCGATTTAAAAAACCATTTCCAATACAAGAAAAAAAACATTTGGCTTAATTTCTTTACACAGACTTTCGACCTTTTGTTAGGTGAAAAAAACAATTTTGATCGATTTTTTTCTATTTAATTCGCACACCGATAATACTGATGTGAAAAGTCAGTGAATGGACTGATTTAACAGTAAACCTCATCGCTGTGATGTGGACCAGTCGCAGCATCTGAAGCTGTGTACAGTCAAGGAGTTCGGACAGATGAAGAGCAATGGCACCAAAGGGTGTTTTGGTCTGATATATATCTGATATAACGTGTTACCATGGTGATTTCTCTTTGACAAGCAACAGATATTCCTGATGGTTTACAGAATAGTAAACACGTTTACGCCGATATTAATTTCAACTTTACCCTTTTCAAGTGGTGTTTTATATACTGTCCCCTTTATATTTCCTTTCTATAGGGCTATCTTAGTGGGATCATGTTACTTCAAGGCTTACTTTTAGCTCAGGACAGTGGATCTTGTCTTCGGTGAATGAGTATGTTTTTTGTGCCGCCTTTAGAAATATCACGGCGGGAAACTAAACAAGTTTTTATCACATTTAATGAATGCGAGGATTTGAACCTGAGCGTTTCGGCCAACCCAACTAGAGCGGGTGAGTGAGTATGGTTTTACGCCGCTTTTAGCAATTCACAAGCAATATCACTGCGAGGAACCTCACAAATAGGCTTTACACATTGTGAGGACTCGAACCCGGGTCTTCGACATGCTGATCGACAGTTTTAATCACAAGGCTACCCTTTGAAACGTTGTCTAGTTATATGTTTCCTTGCCACTAACACATTATCAGCCTATGATACACAATGGCTCGAGGGCGATGGGGTAGCCTTGTGGTTAAAGCGTTGGCTCGTCACGCCGAAGACCCGGGTTCGAATCCCCACATGGGTACAATGTGTGAAGCCCATATCTGGTGTACCCCGCCGTGATGTTGCTGGAATATTGCTAAAAGCGGCGTAAAACCAAACTCAGTCAGTCAGTCATTGTACCAATGTGGGGAATCGAACCCGGGTCTTCGTTGTGAAAAATCTTTGATCCAAGGGCCCGCTGAGATTTTCTCTCAATGTCGTGAGTCTTCTGGAATGGTCTACACCGATGGCCAGGATTTAAATCCCGACAATGATGTAACAAACGAAGAGTCTGGTGGTATCAGGCATGAATTCCAGAAAATGGCTTAAAGCGGCATAAAAGGTCACTCACTCACTCACTCAACATACCAAGATATGCACTCAATACATCCTTCATTACAAGAGAGCACCACACTCACTCACTCACGGCGGTGAGGTAGTCTAGTGGTTAAAGCGTTCGTTCGTCAATTCGAAGACCCGGGTTCGATTCCCCACATAGGTACAATGTGTAAAGCCCCTTTCAGGAGTCCCCAGCCATATTGCTGGATTATTGCAAGAAACGGCGTAAAACCATATTCACTCCTCCCCACTCACTACCTCGCTAACGTTCCATGTGCTTCTCCGCAAACAAAGTAACAAAACAACTTACGTCACTGGTGCCAGATCCAAACAGCAACAGATCAAACGGAATGGCCGCAATGGCGTCGATGACGAACCACCCCTTCACGTAGTTTATAGCAATCTTCTGCGGGTCACTGACCACCTCCCCATTCACCACAAAGGTTGTCCGGAAGTTGATCAAAATGTCCGCAATAAACATAAAGTCCACGATGAGGTCCACAATGACCAGGGGGTCAGCTCGACTGGTCTCCGCAAGGGTGTCCCTAGTGGCGGGATCTTGGTTGAGCTTCATCTTGATTTCTTCCTCGTTGAGGAGGAAGGCGGCGGAATAGGGGGTGAACACGGCGGTGTAAAGGACGAGGAGGAGGATGATCCAGTCCCACACCGCCTTGAAGGGGGAGTAATGGAGGATAATCATCTGGGAGGAGGCTTGCTGGATCTTGGAAGGGGGGACCGGGTCGTAGTAACTCTGGTCGTCCGAATCTGTCTTGTCGCTTTTCGTACCCTGGAAAAAGAAATGAGTATATAGTACTAGTTCCACGCAATTATTTTTTTTTTTACAAAGTGGTGACTGGTGGGCATTTTCTCCTGAATTGTTTCATTGTCGTGTACAATGTGATACAGCTGGGGAAGTAGCGGTTACTTTATTTAATTTGTGATGCGCCTTTTCACTTTTGGAACCCCGGAAGAAGGGCAATAAATTGTACTTCAGTTAATGTAGGAGGGGGACGTTTTTATGTAGATTGTGTCAGTGGCGGTAAATGTTTAGTCATTCATTTGTTTGTTGGTTAACGCTGTACCAGACAACCCAGTGATTAAAATCATGAGTATCGATCAACGGAACTGGAACACGATGACAGGTGTCAACCAAGTCAACAAGTCTGACCACACGATCCCGTTAGTCACCTCTTACGACAAGCATGAGTTGCTGAAGATCAATATTCTAACCCGGATCTTCACGAGTAAAAGATTGTGTGAAAGGCAGGAACTTTATTATGGAAATTGCGTGAGACGGATGAACTTATTTCCTGGAAATTGCAACAGTGATGCAACGAATGTGAATGTGTGAAACCCAACTCACTCACTCACTCACTCACTCACTCTCTCTTATTAATAAGGACATAGTGGTGGAGATAACATATGACCTTCATCCAACCTTATAATCAGCATTTATTAAGCTACGAATGATCTCCAGTGACATCTTTATCACACCTCTTCCTGGAAATAATTTAAAACGCTTAATAAATCAGGAACAGCACAAGACGGTTTGGAATATTAGAAATCCAAAGGCCAAATTTCTTACAAACAATTCCTCACATCACAGCGATCGTCCACATGGACCAGTGAAGAATCAAAATTATTATTACAGGAATCCCACAAACTCAATTTATGCCTCTTTCATGTTTCGTCCAACATGATTTATTTCCGGATCATATGAACCACTACGAACCGGTATGGTCGCGTTGAGAGGCATAAATTTTGTAACTATTCAAGCCGAACTGCGAGTCCCGACCTTGAAGTCCTCGGAGGAAAAGCGTAAAGAAATATAACCGTGACATCATATATTATTGGTTTGGGTGTTACACATCCTAAATAATTTCTATGACACCGACGCAACGCATTTCTCGTTTCGTATGATCGCAGTAAATAAACGTAATAGAGTTTTATTGCAAAAGGCTTTTAGAGCAATTTTACCAGGGGAATTTTATTACATTTAGGCCCCATTCCGTCCTTTGTAAGAGAGGAGAGCGGTTATATTGATTGTATATGGTCAAGATTAACAGCTTGATGCCATCGAAGCAAGCATGATTTCTTATCAACGTCTTTTCTGGCTGTAGGTAGGGTTTTTCTTGTTGTGTAATGCTATTAGAACCCGTCTTCAAACATCACGGGAACTGAGTAAAACTCTACTTCACGAGAGTCCTAATTAAATCCAGCGTCCAATATGTTGGAAAGAAAGGTTTTCGGTACAAACGGACCTTTTATATATATCCTTACACGTGGAGCCTTGCATTGTTCTGGAGAGAAATACATGTTATAGCCATTGGAGAAATTGTCATCCATTGAACTAATGCCTTAACTCGCCTCAATGAATGTCACCGCAGATTTGATTGGTGCCAGTTTTATTGAGTTTATATTTTAAGAATGGGTTGTGTGACACCTTCTTTAAACCTTTACTTTGGATGCCGAAGACCCGGGTTCGATTCCCCACATGGGTACAATGTGTGAAGCCCATTTCTGGTGTTCCCCGCCGTGATATTGCTGGAATATTGCTAGAAGCGGCGTAAAACCGAACTCACTCACTCACTTTACTTTGGAAAGGGTGCCCTTCGTATTTAGCTAGCATGTAAAACTATGTCGGGAAAACAGAAATATAACTCAAAGTGAAAGGTTATGTATTCATAACAGGACTATATCTATCGCTTTTTAGTAATTTAGAACTCATTAAACATTTTCGTAAACTTAGTTAATTTGTATAAACAGTCGTGTTTGCTCCGACCACAAACCTCTGTATCAATACGCGGTATGTAATGTGTCGCTGCCATCTGTCGTGAACAATATGACACGTATATATGATCCACATATATCTCAATATCTCATATATAAGTCAGTAGATCAATATGTACCGTATCGATTATCATGTTTTGACCAGACAAATACACATGCATGGTCCAAACTCATCTGCATGACATATGGACCCGGTCAATATATTTGGATGGACCAGACCAATCTACAGGTATCGTCCAGAACAATCTACATATATGGTCCATAAAATTGGACATATATGGATCAGATTAACCCACATATATGGACCAGATCAATCCACATGTACGGACCAGATCAACCCACATGTACGGACCAGATCAATCCACATGTACGGACCAGATCAATCCACATGTACGGACCAGATCAATCTACATGTATGGACCAGAAACCAATCTACATGTATGGACCAGACCAATCTACATGTATAGACCAATCTACATCTACATGTATGGACCAGACCAATCTACATGTATGGACCAGAACCAATCTACATGTATGGACCAGACCAATCTACATGTATGGACCAGATCAATCTACATGTATGGGACCATGGACCAGATCAATCCAATCCACATGTATGGACCAGATCAATCTACATGTATGGACCAGATCCAATCTACATGTATGGACCAGATCAATCTACATGTATGGACCAGATCAATCTACATGTATGGACCAGATCAATCTACATGTACGGACCAGATCAATCTACATGTATGGACCAGATCAATCTACATGTATGGACCAGATCAATCTACAAGCATGGACCAGATCAATCTACATGTATGGACCAGATCAATCTACATGTATGGACCTGGTGGCGCTCTATGTATGGACCTGATCAATCTATGTGGATGGTCCAAACCAATCTACACTTATTGACCGTATCAATCCACATGTATTTTCCAGATTAATCTATGTGTGTAAGCTAGATTTGCAACGTATTTGAACCATGTTCACATACTGACCAGAGCAGATAAAATCTCCCTGTCATAAGAAATATGTACTTCAAACGTGGACTTGAATATAACATTGCAAACGTATGAAAATGTTATTAAGCTAAAACAGACACCGAACCACTGCAATCTGAAGACCCCGATAACAGTGTTATCGAAAACCCATATCTGGTTGCTGTCATCTGAATGTGTACTTTCATCCGCCTTCAGGCTATGTATTAGAGTTTGTTCTGCGGCGGTTGAGGGGTACTGAAAACACATGTACGAAATGTACATTATTCGTGGTAAGTTTGTACAACTCTTCCGGGTCGATAGCGCTGAATATAATTCCGATATATTCTAGATTCATCTGATATACTGCAGATTTAATTTCTTATAAATTATTGAATATGTAGACGCCGCTGCTATCTGCTTCAACGTGAACGTCCAATATCATCGTGGTCTCTGCCAACTACTTCAAACGTGAGCGCGTGTGCACATTAATACCTGTTTATCAGACTACATACATTTTAATGTCTTTCTCATTTCTACTTGTCACGATCGCATCGAATTACAAATGACACAAGGGATGTAACAACACGATTATTCAAAACATGTAGTTCTAGATGACTTAGTCATTTCCCCTAACACCCTAAGCCTTTTGAGAATAACAAAGCGAGAGAGTGAATGAGGTTTTACGCCGCATTTAGTGATCTTCCAGCATGACAAGGAATACCAAAAAGCTTCTACTCAATATACCCCTGTTGGGAATCGAACCAGGGTCTTCGAAATGACGAGCCGCTATCTACTCACACATGGTTGATCCTACTTTCCGAACATTATTACCTCCCTTAGGATGCATAGGATCCGCTGGTCGAAAATTCAAAACTTTATCGCAGCATAAGTCTGCCTTTGCAATATAAGTGATAATATTGTAATGGAAATTGAATTAATCTTTTTCTCTTACATAGGGGCGGTGGGGTAGCCTAGTAGTTCGCTCGTCACGCCGAAGACCCGGGGTTCGAATCCCTACATGGGTACAATGTGTGAAGCCGATTTTGGTGTCCCCCGCCATGGTATTGCTGGAATATTGCTAAAAACGGCGTTAAACCATACTCACTCACTCCTCTAATATCAAGGTGACACTCCCAGGTACCGCGGAAATAATGTTTAAGATGGCGTTAACCCAAATTCACTCACTTACCCCTGTTCCTCAGCACGCAATTTCCCCTAACCTTTCTAGTTTCATATTCTCACAACCACCAACTATTCATCCAACAACTCATCCCATCACAGATGTAACAGAACATATGTCTGCCTGTCTACTCTTCAAACACACACCCTCAACACAGAGACAAGTTCCCATCGGTCCCTCCATTTCAATAAGTTGGACCAAGATACCAAGTGGAACTCAAAGCTCATCGACTAGCTCATGCACCAGTCGTTTCAGTCCGTTTGAGTCAGAAACGGACCGATGAATGCAATCTAACTCGAAACTAATAAACATAACATATCAATAGAAACGCTGATTATCGTTTAATCAAAACATCATACCAACAGGTTTTGCAGGATATATGAAAATCTAAAAATCCAAAGTTGTTTAACAAACTATCATTAAAATATTGACACAGTTCACTGTTTTGTTACGAGGGAGGAGCGCAGAGAAAGGGACAGCCAGGTGTTCGAGAAGCACGTTCACAAGACAAAGTTATTTATTCATTAACCTGTGCTGTCCCGTCTCCATCCTCCTCGTAACAAATGGTGAACTGTGTCTGTACTCCTCCCTCGTAATGATAGTGAACTTGTTAAACAACTTTTTTAAACAACTTTTTAGGACGCAAATTCTGCAAAAACCTCACAGAGTTGGTATGATGTTTTGATTATGATCAGCGTTTCATTGAGTATTTTATGTTTATTAGTTTTCGAGTTAGATTGCAATTCATCGGTCCGCTTTTGAGCCAAAGGGACTATAGCTCATGGACTAGGTCGTGAACATTAGGCATGTGCTATCTTAGAATCTATTTAAATGATATGTAAAATCCGACTTACATCTTTGTCCTTGTCAGCAGCCACTTGCAGCTTTTCTGATTCCTCGGCGGTCTGTTTTCCGTGGGACTTGCCCCGAAACTCTCGCAGTACCTTCAGCATTATTATTTTGCTCTTTGCCTGCAAGATATAAATATTATCATCCTTTAATGGAAACATTTAAAAGGATAATCAAAACATCCTCTTTATCGCCGCCCAGTTCCCTGTTCCGCGAAGCGATCGCAGCGCAGCAATAGTGGTAAGTTTATGTCAGAATGTGAGAGTTAGGTCACCTTAAAGCTGCGATAGCTTTGATGAACAGGTCCCACTTTCGGAAGCGTGCCGCCGCACGTCCGCATGCGTCAATACCGCAGCGCTTTTGCGCAATTACCTTAGAACATTTGCGTAATTACCGCAGTACGTATGCACAATTACCGCAGTATTTATGCACAATTACCACAGCATGTTGGCATAATTACTGCACAACGTTTGGCAAATTAAGACCCTTGCGAAATTTAAATAGCTTTTATGTCGAGTTACGCACAGCACAGCTTCGTACGGAAAAACAAAAATAAGAGGCAAGAACTTGTGTTCGGTAGTGTAGATCCAGTTGCCCTAGAACATCACAGGGAAATGCTTGAGCGCTTTCGTTTGCGATGTTGAACAGAATATTTGAAACACAAGTTCATACAAAACTTCCTCTCCTTTGTTTCAGCAGAAATGAAATTACAGTAATGAAATTGAAGGATTGATTTGTTTCAAAGGACTGCATGAGGTTTAGTTGTGAGTAGCTTTATCAATAGCCACGAACAAAGAATGCAGACAAGAACAAATGGATTCCAGAAAGCATTCCTGGAAGTGCAGTTCCTTTAGTGTAGTTATGCGTTTCTACAGAGGTCTCGCCTTGGCAGAGGTTATCAAACAAATGAACACACACCGTGATTTGTTTCACAAAAACAGGAACACTCTTTTAATTTTAATACAGGTTACGACAGGTTTAATGCTTCCGAAAACATTGTTGAAATCTATAGCTGTCTTAACACGTTCCAAAAGTATCTGTAAAGTTGCAACTAGCGGGTCTCCATCAACTTTTTTAATTCCATTAATCCCAAATCTGCAAAAACCTTTCCCATAAAAACAATAAATCGAAGAACGTTTCTCATACCATTAGAATATTTTCCCCCTTGGCTGAGCTGTAACATTTGCTGATATTGACATGCGAATTACTTCGACATGAGATGTACATTTCAATACGTTAGCTTGTTAACTCTTCCTGTTGCGGTTTGACGTTCCGAAACGGACGTGAAATGGGCATCAATCGACCTTGCTGTGCCTTGCCTTTGAAATCAAGCCTTTTATATCGAAAGCCGGCCCGGTGAAATATGTGTTGATATCCCTTGATGACGTTGCAAATGAAGATGTCAATATCTTGATTGATAGAAAAGAGTTTATATTACATTTCGAGATTGGCATCTCATAACTGAAATTGACATGTGTTAATGTTATTGCCATGTTACATAAATGTAACAGTGTTCCCGAGAAAGTGCTAATACTGGATTTTAAGGTTTGGTCGTTTTGGATAATTATTCCACGGAAATAAAACGGTTTTATCACCCGTCAGTTTGCCAGGATAAAACGCCCTGCACGCGAGATAGTGTTAAATGACCTCTGACATTATCTCGTCGAAATAACCTTTCTTCAAGGTCATTAAACAGATATGTTTAAGAAACAACTTTAAGATCGTGGGCTGACGGTAAAGGTGCAGGATCTCAGGCCACTTGGAAGGAAATCTGTAGATATTTGTTTCTTGGTCAATGGTTTTATGCATGTTCGGACGAGGAACGTTTAGCTGAATTTAACTTTTATTAATTTAATTTACGTTCTGTTATGCTGTCAACTTTACGTTTAAAATCCTCCGTTATTTACATATACCGATCTCATGACATGAAACATTTACACGCGATTAGCCAATTGCCACAGAGCTTAACGAATGTCAGCTGCGTTCTAAGTGAACCTTGCTTGGCTCCATTTCACAATCGGGTCTTAGCACTATTGTGGTCGTAATTTCTCCACTTAATTGAGGCTTAAGATTATCATAGCGTTACGATCGCTTTGTGAAACCGGTGCCTGGCTCATCGTTTGGCTTCCGCCTCTCTGTGCGCCCAAACAGCTGTGTGGTAGTTCGAAATATTCGCAATTTCTTCAGAATTTCTATATTTAACTGATACCTCTACAGGGAGTGCCCTTTCATTTTAAACTATGTATATACAAAGAATTCGGAGTAGAGTAGAGAATGTCAGTGTCTTTTCTGTTCAGAAAACAAGAAGAAATAAGGAATTGTTGCGTTTAGCCTATGAAGCATAAACAAAGATGGCCGCATTATACAGATGGTCTGACATAAACGTGACGGGTTTTAATGATTTTATAAGCATAATCAGAGCAAAACTTTATTTTACAAAATATTCTTAAAGATTTTATTATGCTTTTGTCAGCAGTTTTTCCTTACAAACACAAAAGTTCATGACTTCAGTTAATTTCAATCTTCAGTTCTAATTTGAAAAGAACATAGTGCCTTCAAAACGTGTCTCAATATAACGCCATGGGCTAATCGGGATGCCAAAGGTCCGTGTCTCGATTCGAGTGTCTCATCCTAATGTCAATCCGGTGCCATTTTAGGAGATCTCGGCACGAGAACCGTGTCTGCGAGTATTTGTGCTCCAAAATGACGTTCTGGAAAGACAACAGTGCGACCGTGGAGAAATGCGATTTCCCTGCCGACTAATAACATTGGAGCAAGCGGGATTTCAACCTGAGGAGGGCCAAGTGTTTGTTTAATGTCCGAGTAATTTACTCTTCTGCTAAAACTCGGCAATAATGGTATTAAACACTTTTAATACGATTCTTAACCCGTCAGATAGTTTGTCTGTGCCTGCAAAACGAACTCTTGTGTTGACACGAAACTGTTCACATATCCGCCAAAGTCTTCACGAAAAGAGAAGTAATCTTCGCTAAGCTTTTGGCTTGTCAATAGAGTCTCGCGCGGGCCCACTGGTGGCGCCATACCACGCCGGGTATTTATTAGGATTGAACTCGAGATTTGCTGTTAGGGAAACATTATCAGGTCCGTGTAGAAGAAGCCTTTATTACTACTGAAGATGAAATGAGTCGCCCGGTAAATAGTCTCAAGTTGGCATTGATGTTAAACCGTGCTATAAGGAAACAGTTTCCGACACGAGCGCCCCCTAGGTTTGAGCTATGTATTAATAAGTGCAGCGATGTGTAGAGTCTCTTTTATATGGTTCCAGTCTATAATTCTATTTCTGTGTCCTTTCTATTTCTTTTCAACGAAGTCATGGCCCGATTGCAATTAAAGATCTAAGCATCTGTGGATAAAAAGGATAATTAATTTAATGAAATTACCTATTACTTCTCTAGTCGTAATTCAGATATTATGACTGACAATACACGCGACAAAATTAATTCCATATGTGAAGGAGGTCTCTACTGAAAGCAGATTCTTTTGATTCCGACTATATCTGGAATATATGTTTATTATTCAGCTCTGTTTGTTTTTGTTGAACGCCAGATAATCCAGGTAATCCAGATAATCCACAAACTGAGATGTGCATAGATACGCAGATGGGGCACGAGGACATGCATAATCAAAATAAGTGACCATTCGATCCCCTTAGTAGTCTCTGGTGACAAGCGTGGTCGCCCTCAGGCTATTGAAGGTCAACTATAAATCGGATTCTCACAGTCCGAATAATTGCGACGTGATGATAACATGTAACCGCGCAACGGGTAGAGTATCCGGCAAGATAACCCCCATCACAAACGCATGCAACCCCAGGTCAAGTATTCACATGAACGAACACGGTAACGTAAGGTATTGCATTGACGTGAGTTTTGTCACAGATGCGGACAATAAATAGTGGGAAGGGCATAACTATTGCCATCAGTATTGTTGTTATAATTTTGGGGAATAATATCATCTTTGTGTTAGTATATTACCACATTGAGTTAGAGATGAATCTGAAAACGTTCAACAACATTGTTATAGTGAGTGAGTGAGTGAGTTTAGTTTTACGCCGCTTTTAGCAATATTCCAGCAATATCACGGCGGGGGACACCAGAAATTGACTTCACACATTGTGCCCATGTGGGGAATCGAACCCGGGCCTCGGCGTGACAGGCAAACGTTTTAACCACTAGGTTATCCCACCGCACTACATTTTTATACATTTACAAGAAATTCAGCGTCTCAAAAATATAAATAAGTGCAATCAGCCTTGCTGTTATAATATCTGGGAACAATATCATTTTGTGTTAGTATATTACCAAACTGAATAAAAGATGAACCTGACAACGGTTTCAAAAAGTGGTGCCTTTAATACAAGACATTTATATAAATGTATAAGAAATTCAGCATCTCAAAAATATAAACAGTTAATTTGGCAACGGCCCCATTGCTTAATCAAATTCTATAATTCGTATTTGACACAGGAGTCATTTTGTTGACGTTGTAACAGGACGTAGTGCAACAGGCAAAGTAATTTCCTGAAGCTGAGTGTGACAGACACCGTGAATTATTGTCAACCGACAACCATATTTACCCATCATGCCTTCCGATATGTGACAGTGCTCTGTCAGAGTAACCACGAACAGATTGTACATTTCACTTCCAACATCCCCCAAAAATGCCCCTGCATGTAATGAAGCAATAAATTCGAGTCCACGTGCGAATCTGAAACCAACAACGGCCGACAAAATGTCCTCAGCAGAGGAAGTGAATCTTACCGGAATTGTAAATCACCAATGAACGTCAGTTAAAATTACACAAGGTGAAGTATTTCCCCGTAACTGAGACACAATCAACGTAATTGAGAAAAAAAGCAATATATCTGTTCTTTGATGGTGTTGGATTCAGTAAGGAAGGATCCGATTCCGAATCAGTGTTTCGTAAAGAGTTTGGAGGTTGTAAATAACGGTGTCTTGTCACTGTTTGGCCGTTACGGATGCAGAGCTGGTAATCAGCGCCATAATAAAAATTCCATCGTAGCTCAATGTTTTTAGGTACACAGTGAGGTAACTGCCGTTCCTGCCAATACCTTACGTTCATGTGGTTGTTGGTTGTTTAA